CAGGCGGACTCCCAACCACTGCGCCACCAGGGAAGCCCGCTGGCATTCTTATAAAACTACTTATTTCTGTTAAAATGCTCTGTGGTTGCCTTGGAGATGTGATGCAGGTCAGAATTACTAACCTCCGCGAATACAATGAAAAAGGCATATCATCCCCAAAAAGTCTCATGAAAACGATGGTCTCCTAGTTTTTTGTTAAAAAAAAAAAAAAAAAAAAGTGTCTCCCGGCAGGCTACCAACCGCAGAGTAAGGCTTTTTTCAGTATCACACACCCTGCCCCAACTTGACTGAAAAGCTCACTGACAGAAGGGGTTGGATCCTTGGTCTTGTTTTGGTAGTCTCCCCTGCGTCCTTCAAAGTACCATGAACTAGAATGAATCCATCCCCTCCCCCTCATGAGACACCTGGGTTTTCCCTAGGACATGGTTCAGTCTTTGGGACTCCACCCCTACTTACACCCCACTGAAGAAGAGCAGCTTCTGGGTTCAAAGTTTCCCACCTGAAATTCCAATCAAGAAAACTGTGCCTCAAGATGCCCACCACCATCTAAGAGAAAACTATTAAAATTACACTTCTGATATCCAGAAGAGGCAAATCCATAGAGACAGAAAATACATTCGTGGTCGACTAGGGCTGGAGGGCGGGAGGATAGGGAAGGAGGAGTTGGGAGCAAATGGTGGGGAATGACTGCTTATGGGAACGGGATTTCTTTTGGGGGCAATGAAAATGTTCTAAGACTGATTGTGGTGATAGCTGTACAGCTCTGCGAATGTACTAAAAACCATTGAACTGGATGCTTTAAGTGAGTGAACAGTATACTAAGGCAAATTATATCTCAATAAAGATATTCTAAAATGTGCATGCCTGCCCCACTCCTCCCACCTAAGACTAGCAAAATAAGAGAACTCACTCTATCTCAGAAAGAAGTCAAACTTAAAGGGGTATATCCCCAGCAGCAAGTCCATAAACCAACTGTGAAGGTGGAAAGAAACACAGTTCCTGAAAACCCACATCACCTCTCAAAACCAACAGCCTAATTCACTTTCAGTTCTGTGAAACCACATTTGGTTTGCCATCGAGTCCATGAGACAGCCAGACATGAAGTCCCGTGCATTCTGCAAGCTTTTCCTGCAAGGCAAAGAGAGGCAGCCAGCTCAGCCACTGGACACTGGATGGGTGGGGGGGTAGAGGGGTTAATCTAGCAAGAAGATGGAAAATTTAAGCTACCAGAATGTTATTAGGAACAACAGAGACGTTGAGAGACTTTTTTTTTTCTCTTTAACTTGTGGGGCTTTTTTGTCATAACCATGACTCTACACAAATAGGATTACCAGGCTTCTTCCCACCAGTGGTTAATACATACACAACTGTGTAAGTTACCAACAACTGGCATGAAGAAGGCATGGGCCTAACTCCTTGCATCCAAATCAAAAAGCTGTTCATTTGGATGGACAATTCTGCTCTTAGTGACTCTTGCTCCAAGTCTTGACAACGCTGAATGCTGGAAGATCATAACAGCTATCATTAATTGAGCAATGCTATGCACCAGGCTTCAAGCTAAGTGCTTTCTTTACATGCACTGTTTCATTTTGTGCTCACAGCAACCCTAGGAGGTCGGAGTGGCTACTCCCATTTTACACAGGAGGAGCTCAGGCTTAGTGACTCACCCAGAGTCAATCAGTAGGTGATGGTGTCAAGAATGAAACACAGAAAATCCTAAAACTCTTAATTCTACAAGTCTGAACTTCATCGCCCGCCTCTATCATCTTTACAGAAAAAAAAAAGGACTAAAACACACAGAATCCTCTTGACT